CCGAGGGACACTTTTGATACTTTTTTATAGCACCCACTTAAACTGCTCGAATTCACTCGAATTTTTTTTCATGTATTCCTGGTTCAAGCGTGACAAAAGTAACAAAGTCTCATAAACATAAGATCAACGCTCGATTTTAAAAAAAATCTTTAAAAATGAATTTTGGGTCAAAATGACCCGAGGGACGGATGAGGGTTTTAATTCAGCGCTTGCAGCGCAGCAAAAATAAACTTGCAGCGGAAACGATCTCTGCACTGCTGCAGACGCACCGCTCCTGGAACGCACTGCTGGACCACAACCGTGTGCAGTAGGAACGCTTTAATCCGTTAACATGAGCGCGGAAAAAATACGCACCGCATACGCACTGCTAACGGAGTAATATGTGAACCTGGCATTATGTGTGTGCACTGCGAGTGGATAAACGCACGGTCTCCAGGAGAGCGTGCGAGCGCTGAATGGTTTAAACACGGTCAATAATTAAAAAGAAATGCCATTTTTAAACTTTAGTGACGATGCGACACTGCCTCGATTGTGCAAGTGACAATTCCTTTGTGTGTCAACTGTGCAGCATGCAGCTGCTTATAGTGCAGACGCGGTGATTTGAAGCCATTTGCACATTTTGAGAGGGAAAGAGAGAGCGCGTTGTGATTCACTCACGCTGTTTGTGAAATAGTATAAAAATACTGATAGTATATCAAAAGTTAGAACCCTTGCATTAAGTTCCTCCTATTTAGTAGTCACCTCTGTTAATCATTTCCACAACAAAGGCCACATGATCTGTATGCTTAAAATAAAAAAAATTTAGAACATTTTCGAAAACATGCACATTCTGACATACCCGTTTTTTGCAGTCTGCTCTTTCCATACTGCAGATACTTCTTCAACCACTCAATACAAATAGTGCTGTAGTAATTTCTGTCATTCTCAAGGAAGCCTCTTTTATTGTTCCAGTTCTGTGCAGTTTGGATTCCTTGCTGCACTGTAGAAATATATCTCAGCTCTTTCCAGTCCAGAGACACAAAGTCCTCTCCATCATATCCATACTGTTTGAATGCATTTGTTGCTCCAGTCTGATCATCAAACTCACAGCCGTACATTCGCTGGAGTGTGTGCAAACCTGAGGAAGAGAGACAATGTTTGTATATTGTATGAAAAATCAATTAATTAAGTCTAAAGACATCAGTCAATCAGAAAGTCCCACATTTTTTATTTAAAAAAACAAACAAAATTATCTAACAGAACATATTTCTCTACAGTGACTAAAGATTTCAAATTTACACATTTAAGTTTAATGAATGGTGTCTGGAATCTGCTCTATTTATGTCAAGTAGTTTCCACAAAATAAAATGTAGAATTTCTATAAAACAAAATAAAGCAAAAAAGTTTATCAGTGCCCCAGTATCAAACATACTCCTTACATTCGAGACCATTTCTGGCTGCTTTGACAAAAAAACTAACAGATTAACACTGCTTGCTTCATGCTGGAGCTCTGTTTGAGCTTTTGAACGACAGATATCTGGGTCACATCAGTGCTGTGATCTGTCTCTCTATGGATCTGTCTCCCTACACAGTGTCCTGCTGTGTGTCTGTGTCTCTGAGGTTCTGTTTGTGTTTTGTAAAGCTCAATCTCCTGCACACAGAGTCTCAGACACATGAAAGTTTTTGAAGTTTTCTTTTCCGCAAATACAAGGCCTGACATATTTTTTTCTTAGTGTTGACAATAAAGAGGATCTGAAAAGCCTTTTTTAAGAGAAACTAAATTGATTCATACAAAATTAATATAATGTGTATTGATTTTTATTTAATATACCTGTATCCAGAAAAATCAGGCTGCTTGTTGTAAAACAGCAGTTGATCTGCTTTAAAATCATTAAGCATGCATAATCAATGATCCCATTTTTTAAACATTTATTTTTGGCATTTTTTGCCTTTATGATAGGACAATATGTAGACAGGAAGAAAAGTCATACTCAAACTCAGTACGCCCAAAGCACAATGGCACTACATGTCGGCATGCTGCAAAAATTCACACATAAATAAGAAAATGGAAATTAAAAATGATCATGTTTGCTGTGTGTGTGTGTGTGTGTGTGTGTGTGTCTGTAGGTAGTTACAATCCTACCTGCTGATTGGTTGAACCATTCCTTTAGGACCTGTATGTTGTTTTTGAAGGTCTGATGGCTGCCAATCAGGGGCTGAGTCTGTCTGTCCCAGTAATCTGCTCCTTCATTCTGTCTGATCCACTCTGTCTTTGGCACAGCTTTCTTTATGTTGCTGTCAAAGTACATAAACTGCTCGTCATCAACCAGACCAACTGCAGTGAACTCTGGGAAGTCAATGACTCCAGACACACCAGCGAAGAAGTATCTCAGAGTCAGAGAGTGTTTTCCTGAAGAGAGAAATACAAACAGAGAAAAACATCATTTTAGTCTCACAAGACATGCTCATATTCAACTTCTTCAACATTCACACTATTCACAATGTTGCATGTAGACGCAGTCAGATATATAGCATTATATAAAAAGCACATTTTGTCATAATAGGTCAAAACATAAAATATGTCTTTTTTAAAACATTTTATTGGATAAAAATTATTTAACTTAATAAATTAATACATTTTATTGGAATGACTTTTGCAAGATATACTGTGTTTTAATTAGAATCTTACAATATATAACACGAGACAGAAAACAAATAAATGGAGTAAATGGAACGTGTTGTATGCATTAAGTACATAATTTCAAGATCTCATTTCAAACTAATTTATCGAATAGAATAGAATTAAAAAACTGCAATAGTGAAATGAAGAGAGCAACTACACCTTCATTTTCGCTTCGTCTGTTTCACTGAAAGAATTATTTTGTTTGCCAGAATAAGGTTGCTTTGTGACCTTGCCATAAAGTGGCCTTAAAAACTGGAGTCAAAATCTTCAAGTTTTTTAGGAACTGGGTCTTCTAAATGGCAGAAATGTGTTATTTTGATTTATTCTGCTGTTGTGGGACTTTCTCTCATACCTAGTGATTATGTACATAATTTCAAGATCTCATTTCAAACTAATTTATCGAATAGAATAGAATTAAAAAACTGCAATAGTGAAATGAAGAGAGCAACTACACCTTCATTTTCGCTTCGTCTGTTTCACTGAAAGAATTATTTTGTTTGCCAGAATAAGGTTGCTTTGTGACCTTGCCATAAAGTGGCCTTAAAAACTGGAGTCAAAATCTTCAAGTTTTTTAGGAACTGGGTCTTCTAAATGGCAGAAATGTGTTATTTTGATTTATTCTGCTGTTGTGGGACTTTCTCTCATACCTAGTGAAACAATCATTCTACAGGTTATCAATAGCAGACCACAATCAATGTAGTGGGTTCCCAAAGTTATTTGGTAAAAAAAAAAAAAAAACACATGCTAACAGCTGATAAAAAAACATAATAGTAATAACTTTATTGATCAAAAAAATAAAATATGTTTATTTATTTTTAATTTATTTTTTTATTCAGACCTCCTGTGAAATAAGGTCTGAATGGTTTATTTTTCATTAGGCTAAAGAATAAATTATGCCTTCAAAAGAAAAGACCTAAATAATAATGAATAGGCTCTGCTTAACATGTAAATCATTTACTATATATTTTGTATAGGCCTATATTGTAAGAATAAAAAATTAAATTAAAATGTGTAACATGCCAAAATAAATATTTCTGAGAAAAGTGTCAATAACACGACACTCCTGACTGGCTGTGGCTCTTCATATAGTCTGTTTTAAAATAAAATAATATAAATATCATACAGTTGCACAACTTAAAAAAACAAAACAACAACAACAACCAACCAAACAGACAAACAGTCAAACAAAAATGAATAAGAAAGCTTATACTGGCACTACTGTAAAATTGTAAAATTAACAGCCTAATTTACTCACCAGCATAAGCAAGATGAACTCCGACAAGCAGAAGCACTACGAGCCACATTCTTGCATTTTCCTGAGGGGCAACTCTTTTTAGATTTAAAATATAATAATTCTAGGCTAGAAAAACGACTTGAAATATTCAAGTAAATACCAAACGTCGGTCTCAGTTGTTGACTCTGAACTTGTAAAATGTCTCTGCAGCAACGCCTGAACAGGTTCTGAAATTCCAGCCAGTAGGCGGTGAGCAGGCCACTTTTTGACTTTCTCAGTTTGTGTAAATCCACATGGTTCAGAGTACATTTTTTTCTCCACATGAATTTCACACTTGTCTATTACAAATATGTGGTTTTGTTTCATAATTACAGTGTATACTTTTTTCTTTATTTACCCCAAAAGAATAGAAGTGAAATTTAACAACATGCCCAGTAGGTGGGGCACATTGTAACATCTGAGGGGCACGTTGTAACATGACCATATCAAAATGTTATCTGATCTAATATACATATCATATACATATATACAAGACAAAAATATTTTGTCAATAAAGTAAAATTAACTTTTTTAAATAAAATAATGGCGTTTAACAATGAAGGCATTGCTACCAGGGCCCCGTGCTTAGTACGGCCCTGATCACAACATACAGCTATAATGCATATAGTTCAAAATAATGTGGACAAATAGATATATAGAAATAAATGGAAACACATTCAGACATAAACACAACACTCTCCTCCCTCCACACAGCTCTCACAGAACATGAGACAAATAGACAAGCCAAAATGCTTTACATTTCTTGAAATAACAATTTCTAAACAATTGACTCTCAGTATTTTTTAAACTATTTCTCACGGTTTCTCAGTAAAATTCATTAAAGTTATTAATGTAAATTACATTGCTATGTCATAGAAAAGCATAGTTTAACGCGCCACTGGAATTTAAAACCGGTTAGTGTCTTTTGCGAGTTGGGTCCTTCTACAGAAACGTCCACTTTTGGTATGGCAAGATGTCTTAAAATGTATTTCTTTTTTTAACATTTAAGCTTAGACCACATTATTATATTACCTTTTGAATTTATGAATGCATATAAATGACAGCTTAATGATTTTTTATCTTTTTTGTGCATTTATTTAAAGACCACATGTACCATATTTTTTACCCTCTTTGGCAATTTTAAAGGTTTTTATGAAATATTATTTCTTGATTTTTTTAGTACATGTAGTCAGAGTTAGACAAATAATGATAATGCAACAAATAAGGAGATTATGTTTTATTTATTTTAATCAGGTTTGTTAAAAGTATGATTGAATGATGTTAGTTCATTTGCGCAACCATGTATTTGCTATAACAATGAAAATATTTGAAAAAACAGTTGTAAATGATGCAATCCTTTAAATCTTAACTCTCAAGTGTAGCAGAATTCATAAAATTATTATCATGTCATGTGACACATTTTATTTAATGCGACAGAAAAAAAGTAACACCAGTGACACAATGAAACACCAGTGACATACATAAGACCAAAGATCCTTATTCTTCATCTACAATTAAGTAGATAAGACTCTACAGATAAATTGTTACATTTGGCATACATTTGGCAATTAGTGAAAGCAGTTAGTAAAAGAACATAACCATAAACTGATCTTCACTGGTGTTACCCATAAGGAAGGTAACACCAGTGACAGTAACACCAGTAACAATTTTCACGAAAAATGCATTTTACAAAATGTCTGCTGCAAGGTATCAAACCACATGTTGTCAATCATGGTATACTCACTAAATTAAGTAGTTTAATCCATTTGTATTCTAGTTTTTTACAATTCCCTAACAATAAAGTAGGTCATACCAGTGACTTCCACTAAAAGCTTCATATGAAATCATGAGATAAATGAGAACATTTCTGATAACTGAAAAGAGACAGTGGACTTCACATGGGCCCTTTTTCATAGATCTTCAGGAAATAGGAGGAAGGAAGTCAAGTGAAGTCATCAGTGTGATTTTTATATCAAAATAAAAGATTTTTGTTAAACGGTAACACCAGTGACACAACTCCAGGGGACCACTACTTTCATTATATATTTTTATGTCATTTACATCATATATTTGATAGTTATGAATACATAATTGTATTTTTAATGGTAGAAAAACCTGTTTTTGACCTAAAAATAAAGCACTTTCCCTCTGTACGTGGCTGTGGAGACGAGCAGTTTTGTGGAGCTTGGAATTCTTTATAATTAATTAAAAACAAATATTGCCACATTGATTGCTCAAGAAGGTGTAATTGTTCAAATAACACATTGTTTTATTTTAAAATATATGTTTTTCAAGTGTAATATTTCTGTAAAGGCTAGGGACAGAAAAATTGACATTTCCATAGAATGACCCAGTTAGCAAAGCATTACAGACTTATCTTAACTGCTAAATAACAGATTGGAGATTAAAATAATAGCAGATTTGTCTCATTTTAAATAAAAACTAAAAAAGATTTTTGAATTTTGGCACATTCTTTTCTCTCTATATATATGTTGATATGTCAACTAGTAAATACTGTAAATGCTAGCATGTGTGGAAATATTTAAATGTTACAACTAACCCCGCGCACGCCGACAGATTCTGGACACATTCGGTTACTACTCACCGTGGTCTGGAGTAGTGTTTGTAGTAGTGTTTATTAGTATGGAGCGCCACCTAGCAGAGAATAATAGTTTACTAGTTGGGAAATGCATGGTTTTGAGTGTTTTACTGTATATTTCAAGAGGCTACAAGGCCTCTCTCTACATGATGCTACATGAAAAATATGTCACACGTCCGCGGAGAATTTCATTTTCAAATGGCAAAAAGACATTCAGTAAAAATAATCAGAAGTTTATGCGCATGCGTCGTAATCATGCCGCGGAAGTTCGGAACTTAAAGTGAAACGCTGCAAGCTGCTCGAATGTTTTGGGGAAAACAGACGGATCTTTAGCACGCCAAACAGCACAGTTACACCTAGTTATCATTTTTACACAAAGAGCAACGATGTCTGATATTTGGACCATATATAAGATATCTATCATCGCATTTGCATTGTTTTGTGGTGGTAAGTTTTTGTAATCAAGAAAACAGCTTAATATATTCAATTATGCGTGTGACCAATGACCTCTCTTACTTACAGTTTCCGGTTCTGGAGTGCTGGTTTGTTCAGGAGAAACCGGGTCATGGAGGGGGTTTCTCAGTACCCATGAGTCAAGAGAAATCTCTAATGTTCATCAGAACTGAAGCCTTCAGTGAAGAGAGCATTTATGAACTTCATCCTCCTGCAGACATCAGTCCATCCAGGATTTACTATGTGACCGGTCAGTGACAGTGCAGCATGTGCTTTTAAAAAGACATGTATAATCTGTGAAGTTGACTGTATAATCTGTATATAACAAGTCAAAGAAGATTTGTGCAATGTTGTGCTCACTTGGTGATCTGTAGCTACTATAAGGATTATTGTATGGTAGTATAATACTGTATTTAAATCCCTTTTCTATACCAACCAGATCCAGCACTACAGCCACAAATGACACAGTATATGGCACCTGTTCTGAAGTATAAGGCAACTATTTGATGCTATTTAATCTTTACTGCATGTCTTCCTCCAGATCCAGCTGGCTCGTTCTGCAGTGCAGCTCTGAATCCACCCAAAGGCTGTGAACAAACCCAAGTGTGAGATTAACCCTTTCATGC